AGGCAAGGATTCTGAGGCTCCGTCTAACATACTTTGGACATGTTGTGAGGAGAGACCGGTCCTTGGAGAAGGACATCATGCTTGGAAGGGTGGAGGGACGGCGCAGGAGGGGCAGGCCCTCTATGAGGTGGATTGATTCAGTGACTGGGATAATCGGGATGGGAGTGTCAGAGATGATGCGATTGGCACAGGACAGAGCAGAGTTTAGAGTTGTTGTACATAGGGTCGCTATGAGCCACAAGCGACTCGACGGCACATAACAACAACATCATAAAACAAAATGATATGAATTACTGGTTGAATGAACAACCAGTCAGCATTATAAACTTTCACCTAAATCATAATAAGTAAATAAATAAAGTACATTTTCCCTTTTGCAACAAGATAGTAATCTATGTGGAGATACTTTGAGATGCTATGAACATCTTATTCCAAAAAAAACCTCTTCTCCAATGGCATTATCATTTTGCCAGTTCAAGACTGCAAATGGAGATTTTCTAATTCTGTTATCTCTTGTACACTTACTAGCTGACATTTTCCTTGTTATTTCTCTCTCTCTCTTTTTTAAGACTAAATGCGGCCTCGTGGATTATTTGAAATCTAATCAACTACTTTAGGAGTTCAACTCCTGACTAAAATCCTAAGTGAGATTTTTTCAGGCCCTGTCACCGGCAAGTGTAAAAGCCTTTAGGCAATAAGGACTTCTGAGAGAAAACTGCACACTTCCGTTCTCTCACCAGCGCATTACTGTTTCTAAAGGGATTTGTGGTCAAGGCCTCAGGACACCCAGGTAGCCACGCTCTTAGGCACATTTGTATTCCTACCTAGTCCAGGCCCCGCCACTTGGAGGTCTTTGTGAGGCAATTTCAGTGGAGGTCTTCCTCAGACACTCTGCGGAAATCTCTTTCTTCGGGGCAAATGGGTTGGGAATTATCCTGAAGGCATTTTTCCCCACACTGATTCTGAAGCTTTCCACTCCTAATCCTGCTCCTAACAGTGGGCTTAAGCTGAGGCTGGGAGGAGGGTGAAGGGGGAGGCAAGGCTTTCTTCTGTGGCACGAGGGGTGGTTATAACTTGGAGCTGACTCAAGTGCTTCTAAGGAGAATAACGAACACAGCTGCTAGGGGGTCTGGGGGATCCTTGAAAATTTAAACAACAGATTCATATATGACTCGGTTAATTCCCTTTTTGGCCAAAAGAATTCGAAGCAGGGACTCAATCAGAAACCAACGCACCAATGTCCCTCACTTCGTTATTCACAAAATCCCAAAGGTGGAAATAGTGCAATGCCTGGAAACAGATGAGCAGATAAACAAAACGCAGGAAGTATTGATGGACCACCCCCTACCCCTTGGGTCTGTAACACTGCAGCAGCCTTTGTTCCAAGTTCCATGGGACATGAGACAGTGCCTGACACCTTGGCTCCTCCAGCTGACCCTCCCTACTGCCATCAAGTCAATCCAGACTCACAGGAACCCGCCACTGGGTTTCCACAGCTGTAAATCTTTATGGGGGGAGGGTGGCATGTGGAATACATTGTTCATCTTTCTCTTGCTAAGTAGCTGGGGGATTTGAACCACCAAGCTTTCAGTTAGCAGCTGGACACATTACACATCTGGGCTCCCTATACAGGCAACAACAATTGGAATGGGGGGAGTTGCCTCTTGCTTGTACAACACTTAGACCCTGGAAGTGACTAAGGGCCCGACCGTTGCTTTCTTTAGCCTTGCCGTCGTCTTCAGTGAGGCTGGCACGGGGCGGCTCGCTCTCTTCAGCTCAGCTCTGGACATTATCCATTTCCGTCGTCATTATTCTGATGCTTAAACTGCCCTAAGTGTCCAAAGAAACTCTTCAGTATGGCTTCTGTGCTGTTGGAAATGACCCCGTTATTCCTTAAGCACTTCTTTTCTATCTAGTACAGTAAGATGTTCCAGCCTCACATAGCCTGCTCCAGAAGCAGGAGTAATCATTTTCCCAGAGGAATTGGTTTTTAGTGGTTAAGAAACTGAAAAGCGCTTTTTTTTTTTAAAAAAAAAAAAAAGGTCCCTAGTATATTTAAGCAATAGCTTTCGGGCCTAGTGGTGAAGAGTTGAGCTGTCAACTGAAGGGCACGCAGTTCAAACCTACCAGCTGCTCCACAGATTAAAGATGGACAATCTCCTCCTGTGCCGTTTACAGCCTCTGAAAAGGCGTTGGGGGTGGAGTGGGGTCAGCTACAAGTCAGTTCCTCCTCAATGGCACCTAACATCAAGATATTTAGTACTTGTATCTATACAAGTTATATATATTTAAATATACATATGACTTAGTTTAAATGCTCAGTTTCTTTTAACTGAATTGGTGAGCCCTCAGAGAAGGCCATTCCTTAAAGCACAGTTAAAATAAGAAAAATAAAAGGGGTCCAAAACTGTCCAAGTATCACTTCTCGGCCTTTTGGCTAAGATTAAGTGCAAAACTGTCCACGTGCCAGAGTTACCAATCCATCTGAAGATGTCTCAATCCTTTTGAAAATGTTTATCATTTCAGTAAAACTTTGCAGAGCAAGTTGGTAGGTTTCAGGACATTGCTCACATTACAACAGCACTCTTCCCAATCCCTCTTTGTGTTTCCCATTTCCATCCAGCCGTTTATAGCCTTTCTACCCTTCTAAGCTTTACTCTGTGCAAAAGCTGCTTTTCTGCTCTTTTGCAGTTGACTGCTTTAAGGAGTGTTTGAAGGAGCCTGTCTGCTCTTTGGCTTAATGATGAATTATAGGAGTGAGTTCAAGCTCCAGGCTTGAAGAGTCATTAAGTACCATAGTCTCTATCAGAAGTAAACTTTGCCTCTTGGGTAATTTGACGTTTTCTTCCTTATTTTTTCCCCATTCTGTCAAGTACCTTCTTTTATAGAAAGGCCACTCATCTTTTTTTTGTTTGTTTGTTTGTTTTGTTTTATTTATTTGGGCCACTCATCTTAATACCACCAAAATACAACACTTTACCTCATGTTTTAGAGCTTTCGCTCTCTTTCCCTCCGACTAAAGGACGCCCTTTTGATTTGGCCTGACCTTCTGTGGATGTTTCAGTATTTCACTTCTTCCCAGTCTTCGCTCCTCCGATCATCACTATCAATTGAAATTGTTTTTAGATACGTACCCTGTGGAGAGGGGATGATGAGGTGGGATGTGAACTGTGTGTGCTGTCCTCAGCAGAGTCCAGCACCTCAGTCCCTACTGATGTGGACAATGTAATATCTAATAGCTACATGGCTCTTTCCAGTTATCTTGGCAACCTGGCTCTACCAGTTCCTTGTCAAGGATGTATTCTCTATCTCCTGTTCAGGGATGACACTAAACCCAAACTCATTGCTATAGAATTGATTCTGATTCATAATGAATTTGCAGGACAAGCAGAACTTCCCCATAGGGTTTCCATGGCCAAGTTCCCATCTTTTTTTCATGGGGTCACTCAGAGTCATGGCGGACTCAACAACAATAGATCCAACTGCCTTAGCTTCCTTTCATGGAGCAGCTAGAAGGGTTGCACTACCAATCTTTCCATTACCAGCACCATTCTCATTAGCAGTTCACAAGAGGGTCCGTATCTTTGTGTCTTCACCAACCCTTGTTAGTGTCTGACGTTCTAATCATTTCCATCCAGCAGGCGGGAAGTGGTTGGTATCTCCTTGTGGGTTTGATTTGCATCTCCTTAACGATTCTCACTTTGCTTGCCCGATTCTACTCCTGACCCTGAAATCTATAGTAACACTAGTGTTTTCCCTCTCTCCTCTCAGGTACAAAGCCATTGTCAGGCCAATGGATACGCAGGCTTCTCACCCCCTGATGAAGATCTGCCTCAAAGCCACCTTCATCTGGGTCATCTCCATGCTGCTGGCCATCCCGGAGGCTGTGTTTTCTGACCTGCATCCCTTCTACGAAGCAAGCACCAACCAGACCTTCATTAGCTGTGCCCCGTACCCACACTCCAATGAGCTGCACCCCAAAATCCACTCCATGGCGTCCTTCCTGGTCTTCTACATCATCCCGCTGTCCATCATCTCGGTCTACTACTACTTCATCGCCAAAAATCTGATCCAGAGTGCTTACAATCTGCCCATGGAAGGGAACATCCAGATCAAGAAGCAGGTGGGTGCTGCGGATGGAGCCCTCCTCCCTCGGGGGTTTGCCCCCTTGCGTTTCTTTTGGACCTTGCTGGAAAGGACAGTCTAGAGGCAGACATGTCACCTGAGTCTACTAGCGGAGTTACTGGTTCTCGGTTATCGGCCATGCCAGGTGTTCTTTATCACTTTATTCTCTCGCTAATGACCTGAGGACTCCTGGAGGCAAACTGCTTCATATATTGGGTTGCTAACTGAAAGAAAGGGAGCTCTGGTGGCCTAGTGGTAAGGAATTGCACTGCCACGCCAGGGTTAGATAGTTCAAATCCACCAGCTACTCTGAGGGCGGAAACTAGGCCACTGAAGGGTCAGCTTGGAGTCGGTTCAGACTCAGTGGTACAGAACACAACTACAAGGTAGGTCAGAGGTTAGATCCCTCCAAGGAAAGAAAATGACCCATCTCCTCCCATAAAGAAATGCAGCCTTAGGAACCCAATGGATGGTCACCACGGGTCCGAATCAACTTGATAGTGGTGGGTGGGCGCTAACGGTCTAACCTGGGATATTTGAGAACCTGAATTATTTGAAGTTCTATCTTCCTTTTTAGGAATATCTGAAAATATATTTTCCCTACTAAATAACAACTGTGAGGCCTATGAAACCTTCTTTAAATCCTAGTCTTTGTATTTAAGTAGGAAGAGAGCCACCAAATGGAGCAAGGGCAGGAAAATGGAGCTGGCTGGAGAAAGCCAGGCATTTGATGAAAATGGGCTCACATGGCCTTGAAATTCAAATCCTGACATTCTGATTGACATTTACATACTGACTCTGTGCTGCTCTTCGCTTACTCACAAGACAGTGTTGTTGTTGGAAGCTGTGGGGTCCAGTCGGTGACCTCATGTGAGAGACTGGACCTGCCCCATGGGGATTTCTGGGGTTTTTTTACAATCTTTCCAGAAGCAAATCTCCAGGGCTTTCTCCCTAAATGCTTTAGGGTTCAAACCACCCACCTTACAGGTAGAAGCTGAGTGGTTAACTGTTGCACCACCATTAACAATGCCCATCTTGTAAGCCATGGGAGGATTACCAGAGAGAGCAGGAGCCGCCCAGCCTCCTATCAGTCTGTCCTATCAGGCGCCCTGCACAGAAACTTGCATGTCTGACTTCCTTCTCTTTGTTCCTTTGCTTTCTGGCCCCGGTGCAGATCAGGAGCATTAGGAGGGAAAGGCAGAAGGCCCCCTTACCCTACTTGAACCAGTTGCTTACTCAGCTGGAGGCCTCAAGAGAGCAGATTTCTTTTGCTTCATTTGTTGAGAATTGCAGCCAGCTCCCTACTTGGAAGGCCACTCATTAGTGCTCTCTCATTGTCCCCCAAGTTCGTGAATGAGAAACACATTTCTCCTTGCAGGAGCAGAGGGGACGAGCAAAAGAAGATGCTCAGTCTACTTCAGCTAAGAAGGCAGACCACAAATAATTTCAGATTAAGAAAAATATTAATAGGGCGTTAGATCTTGGTTTGGCCAATAAAAAAGAACAAAGGTGGCTGCCTCTTTGAGCATCACAGGGAAATGAGAAGTGACAACACACAGAGCAGGGAAATGCATGGAGTTGTGTGGGTGATGAAAGGCTTTCCTGAGGAAAAGGAGGCCCAGTGCAGGACCTCATCAGTCAACCCACCCAAGCATGTAATCGACTCTGTAAAGATCTGTTCTCAGTTCTGCCTCATGCATTTCTGCTTCCCGACTCTTCCATCTCTATGTGTCTCCCCAGTTTTTATTTTCCGGTCTCTGTTGCCCTTCTCTCATGGTGACCTAAGCAACCTCTCTTCTTTGCCCTGTCTGCATCCATGTCTCTCTCTGTGTGACTCTTCTCTCTCTGTGACTCTTCCCTCAGATCGAATCCCGGAAGCGACTCGCCAAGACAGTGCTGGTGTTTGTGGCCCTCTTTGCCTTCTGCTGGCTCCCCAACCACGTCATCTACCTGTACCGCTCCTACCACTACTCGCAGGTGGACACCTCCATGCTCCACTTCATCACCAGCATCTGCGCGCGCCTCCTGGCTTTCACCAACTCCTGTGTGAACCCCTTCGCCCTCTACCTGCTGAGCAAGAGCTTCCGGAAGCAGTTCAACAGCCAGCTCCCATGCTGCCGGCCTGGCCTGCTGTCGCGCTCCCACAGCACTGGCAGGAGCACCACATGCATGACCTCCCTCAAGGCCACCAACCCTTCCGTGGCCACCTTCAGCCTCATCAACGGGAACATCCGCCATGAGGGGTATGTCTAGACTGGCCCACAGGGGGCCCTGGTTTTGCTGGTTGGGACCTCTGTGTCTGCTGTCCCTATTTTCCAGACCCTCTGGAAGGTTCCTGTGTGACAAAGGAGGGTGGGGGAGAGATCCTAGCCTCTATGACTGGCATATTGTGAAGGTACCATCAAGGCTTACATTTTCCATTTCACGCCTTTTTTGTCCTAAAAAGAGAACAAATAGGGAATTCTATTTTGAAGCATCAAGCTCTTGTATGTCAGAGAAACTATATAAACCCATAGATTGGTGTAGCAGAGAAAACATGCATTCACTCTGTAGGAGACTTCACTTTGTCATTTCCTTTCCCTGTTTAGGCTTCAACAAACAAATGTATTCTCTCACAGTTAAGGAGGTTAAAAATCCAAAATCAGGGCCCCAGCTCTGAAAGAAGGCTATCAGCTCTGGTGGAAGGTCCTTGTCTATTTTCAACATTGTTGGGCCTGGTGTCCCTTGGGTTTCCCATTAGTCTCAGCAGCAATCCTCCCCTGGGTCTAGGAGGTTCTCATCGCAGGAGCTCCAAGTCCTAAGGATGCATGGCAGCACTGAAGTCTCTCACTTTGTGATTTCAAAGTAAATTAGAAGCTAGTGCTTCCTAAGTCACATTTGACTCATGTTTGAAAGAGTATCTGTGATCCAGAAAGTACACCCAACTAGAATAACCGACACCATGCAAGAACCTGAGGGATGAGGGACAGGCACCAAATTGTTCACACTGAATACTAGCTGAATAAAGAACAAAGTCTTGAATATCCATTCTTTTAAAAAGATGTTACTGGGGACATAGGAGGAAAACACTCAATCCATAAATATAACCAAACACATACACATTCATATCACCCACAGTGGCCTCTCATGCTCTGAGTTTTATGTAAATAGTGATCCCTTTTGCTGACACCATGATGCAATTCCAGTACAGTGCAGGGAGAAACTGGTAAAATAATCCATTCATTGACTATTTATGAGTATATTAAGTGCAGTGTTTTCAACCAAATGTAAATCTAAAGATTTAGCTATCCTTATCTAGTACATTGGAGTCCCTAGGCAGTACAAATAATTAATACAACCAGTTGCTAACCAAAAGGTTGGAAGTTCAAGTCCACCAAGAGACTCGGAAAAAAGGCCTGGCAAGATGCTTCCAAAAACTCAGCCACTGAAAACTCTGTGGAGCCCAGTTCTCTCCTCACACATGTGGGGTTGCTAGGAGTCAGAGGAGACTAGATAAGAGGTGCTGGCGTCGCTACACTGAAGCAGAGGGGAACTGACTCATAGCTGACCCTCCAGCAGGTTTTCAGGGGCACAAGGTTTTCACGCACGAGGAGACTGCCTATCTTTCTCAGAGCAGCTGGAAGACTTGAGCTATGTACCTTGGGGCTGGCAGTGCAATTCCTTATGACTAGGACACCAGAAGAATCAAGGGGAGCTAGAAACATGTATATAACTTTAAAATTTGTGGAAGGAAATGGAAACAGAACTCCCTTTGTAGTCTTTCAGTAATACAGATTTTTTTAGTATGTATGAGAAAGTTGCAGGGCTTGACTTGATTTTAAGAACTGCTTGAAAACCGGCCACCAATACTTGTTGTTCTTATGAAATTGCCCATGTGCAAAAGAAGACGGAAGAGAAACATTTGTCTAAGAGAATATAACTTGTTCTACCAAGATTGCCTATTTTATTTTTAAAACCCTGCATCAAGTTTTTCTTCGTGGACTTTGCTGGGCTTGAGAACAGGTCCTTGCTGACAGAACGCAAATATGCGAATCCCCTTCCAGGCAAATCCTAGTCCTCCATATGTGCCTTTCCCTGCTAGGATGACTCAGGTTGAAGTTTGCTCTATGTCAATGGGATGGCACGCTCAGCTCCCTCGTCCACATGGCACATATTATGAGATTGTTGCCTCTTGATCTGAGGAAGCAGTCACTGTTTGCAGAGCTTTAGGAGTTAATGCCAACACAGTTGTAAAGATCTGTGTCCACAGTTGTATTAGCTACAGCTAAACCTCTTAACTTCTGCCAACAGTGTGCTCTGCTCTGCTCTGCTGTGCGCACCTTCCTTCCCCAGACTCGGCAATTACACTGCACAGTCCAAAAATAACCTGACATCCCAATTCCATTTCTAGAAATCTGGCCTTGCCTATCAATGTCCTTTCTGTGGACCCATATTTTCATCTGTAGAATAAGAGAATGGCATTAACAAATGTCCTCTTCTCCTCTAAATTTCTCCCCACCTCTCCATTGTTTCTCATTCTGTCTTGAAAGCATTCATATAACCCACTTACAGTTGCCACATGTCTGCTAGTCTCACAATAATCTTTCAGAAAGACACACATGGATTCAACAGCCCATGCATGTACAGTCAACACTGGACACTCGTGTACACCTTAGCGTTATCAAAGGAGACGATCCTTGCTTCTAGGAACACCCTGGGATCTTTTGTATGAATGGTGTTCTGTTAGGGTTTTGGATAAGAATTTAATGACACGTAAAAACACATTGTCTGATGCACTTATTTACCCTTCCTCAACTTCTTACCTTGACCTACCAAGCTGCACTTGCCCTCCTTCCAAATTCTGCAGTAGGAATCATCACTCCATACTAGGATGTACTGCATTCTGGGGACCTGACATGACTTCTACAAGCAATTCTTCTTCTTTTGACATTGTGCATAGATTGGGTCTGGTCTCCTTTCTGGATACTGGATGCATCATGTGGAACTTGTGGTCCAGCTCAAGTTGTGAGACCTTAAAAATCCAACCAAACTCATGGTCAAGGCCAACTCAGTGTGGCCACGCCTGGGTTTCCGAGGCTCTAAATCCTTCCAGAAGCAGACTGCCTTGTCTTTCTCCCTGGGAGTGCCAGCGACAAGCCAGATTCTTTAACCACCGTGCCACCAGGGCTTTTCCTACCAATCTTAGTACCTCTCTGAGCCCCTTAAATGAAAGAGTTAAGAATAGGACTTTGCCAGTCAGTGACCTGGGACCAGTAAACCAGTTCTGTGACTCTCCTGGAGGGCTGACTGCTGGGGAAGCATACAGACTGGGCCCCGTGCTACCCAAGTCAACTCCTCATGCTACTTAACTACCTGACTCAGGTTAGAGAGACCTAGGCCAGAACACAGGATCAGCTCTCTGCCAGGGCAGAGTGTAAAGGGGAGAAGAGTTAAGACACTGCACGCCTGGCTTGCAAAGATAATCACGTTTATAGCGCTTATGTCTTTGGTGAGGTGTGGGGAGGGGGGAATCAATTTTTGCTGTGGAAAACCATCTGTGTTTATTCAATTGACAGACACTACCTTTCAATCTATCTTAAATTGAGCTGCCCTGAGGCAGGCTGCTCAAAGAAGATAGATTAAGTAATAAACAAAGCAGCCTCCCCTGCAAAGGTTGCTGCTGGAGTGGGAGGCTAAGGTGCTATTGGGAGGGAGATCCCTGATCCCAATGTCAGGGGAGAGGCCCCCCTTCCTCTCTTCGTGGGTCTGAGTTGATGAGTTCTCTTAAATTTGGGTGGCAAACCCTTGCACTTCTGACTGCCCTCACACTGAGCCCAACCCTCCACCTCGGCTACCAGCCACACACTCTGGTTCCACCTTGGCAGATGGAGAACCCTTAGGTAAATAAACTCTTTGGAGGTTGCCGCCTATGAACTAAGCCCAGCTTGTTATGACGATGCATATTGGACAGACATAAATGAACTTGACATGGCACCTGGGCATCCCTGAGTTATAAAGGCCTCGTGTATGCCAAAGGTAGCAGTTGGTTTATGGGTTTCAGAGTCTTTTCATGCAGCAAATGGCTGCTGGTAATAGAGATTAGCTTTGTTTGGGGATGACAAGTTGAATGACTTCCGCAATCTGTGGACTCAAAAGTGACTAAGTCACTTTTTCCAGAGGCCGGATTGACGTGATTCCCAGGGAAGCCTGACCATATGACCGTGAAATGACTGGTGCACGCTGTCTCCTGGTGGGACAGAGGGCAGGGAACACGCATGCTACCCTCACCCTAGCAGTCCCACCAGGAGGGAGCCTGGCTAGAGAGCAGCTCAAGGTGACGAGGGGAAGTGCCGATCCAAACCTACTGCACTTGGGCGATTCCAACTCACAGCAACTCACAGGGCCCTGCAGGACAGAGAACTGCCCCTAAGGTTCCCAAGTCAGTACGTCCTTAAGGAAGCAGACAGGAGAACAGGCACAGTTCAAATCCACCAGCTCTGCGGAAGGCAATCTCCTTCCCTGTGATTACCTGCCTCTGAAAACCTATTTGGGGGGTCGATCGACTAGGAGGCAATTCGGACTCACTGTATATGACAACAGCTCTAACCCAAGTGTCACTTGGGCTGCCTTGGAGGATATTTTACAAATAAATGGGTCTGATTTCAGCCACATTTTCATTAAATCAGTTAACAGCTGAAAATGAAGGGATTCTTCACTCTCATGGGACCAGACTTTGTGAATAGCATCTTGAATACTGAGCAATCGATTACCATCATTCTCACGTTCCAAGACACTCCTTGTTCAGCAGGGGTAAACTTCAGGTGAATATATCTAGAGAAATCAACAAATAACACACCAGAACAGACATATCTCTCCCGAAAACTCACATAAGAAATGCATTCAAGAAAAATTCTCCACAATGGCAGTACTGTATCTACACCTACTTCTCACTTACAGACTATCACAATATTCAACATTTCACTTTCAGGAGAATAGTGAAAAAGCTATTATCCAATTATTTTTTCATGATTATATTTGGCAGGTGTGTGGCAAGAGTAATGCTGGTTGTGATGGTTACAGTCATGTGTTGATTTATCATGATTGAGCCATGATTCTCAGTGGTTTAAAGTTATTCAATGATAAAGTTATCCCCCATTTTATGAGCTGATGTAGTCATTTTCCATTTTGTAATCCAATGTAGGCATCCTCCATTATGAAATATTATTTCTATTCAATGGCCTGGTCTATGGAAGCTGATGACTGAGTGTGTATATTTAATTAAAGAGCCCTGCATTGGGATTTT